CACGAGGGTTTCCTGTGCTGAGCCATTCCCTCAGGCTGCGGAGATCATCTTTCTCCTGCAGACATTTGCTGTACAGGGGACACTGTCTGGGGGGAAGATAGTTGACCCACTCTAGTGGAAAACACCTTGCCCCTTCGGAGAAGGAGAACAATTAGCCTCTAGGCAGAGACAGCATTTGACACTGTCCTGCACTCGAGATTGAGAGGCATAGCAGATCTACCTCATACATAGTCACAAACCCAAACAGGCAGCAAAGTGAGGAGACAAAGAAACAACACACAAATGAAAGAACAAGAGAATTCACCAGAAGAAGAGATACATGAAATGGAGATAAGAAATGTATCTGAAATAGAATTCAGAATAATGATGTTAAAGATGCTCAACAGCCTGAGAAAAGATATAATTATGAAAACAGAAATAAAGAATGACATAGCGCAAATAAAGAACACATTGGGTGCTTCAGTGCCAAAGAAAAAGATTAAAAAGCATCGTTTCCCAGGGAATATGGAAGGTTTTGTCACTGGAGATGAGGTCTGTGATAAGGAAGATTTGGAATTTCAGAAACTTCATAAATCGGGCATGGCATTTAAATCTGGTGACAAAAATGATGATGGATGGTTTGGTTGAAAGTAAGGTAGACAGGATTGAGGGACTTGATCAAGAAAATGAAGGAGCCCTAAGCTGTTTGGCACATGCCTGGGTTTCAGGCTTGATCCCCAGTAGGGGGCAAGCAGGAGGCAGCTGAACAATGATTCTCTCTCATCATTGATGTTTCTATATTTCTATCCCTCTCCCTTCCTCTCTGAATTCAATAAAAATATATTTAAAAAAATAAATAAATAAATTACCGGACCTGTCAGTTATTATCTATATCCACTTTTCATTCTTGATCTGGATTGAGTTTGGAGTTGGGGCCATTAAGTGATTAATTACATTTGTAAGGTATATCTCATTGGGAATGGAAATGGAAATGGAGGAGGAGAGGTATACCAGTACAGCCTATAGGACAGGGGAAAAATACACATTAGCACTAGAAACTGGGGCAGTTTTGCTGGTTACGTAATATAAAAATCTAGACACTTCTCTTTTGTTGTAACATAAAAAACCTTAGGGAGCTTTTTCTTTGTATTTTTTTATCGTGATAAAATATACTTCATATAAAATTTACAATTTAGCCATTTTTAAATATGCACCTCAGTAGTATTAATTACATTCACAATATTGTACAACCATCTCCGCTTTGGGGAGCTTTTGATTCTTTACATTAGACATGTAAACTAGAAATAATCACATTATTATATGGGTCTGTATTTTCTGGTAGAAATTTAAAATTGGGAGTCTGGGGGGAAATAAACTTGAAGACTGGACTCATCATTAGCGATGAGATGTGGCTAGAAACACCTTTTGGAGGCATATCCATCGAAAGAGGAAGAGGAGACAAGTGCCCAGTAATTAGGAAGGCTGGAGCAGTAAGTATTGAGGAAAATAATAAATAGTAATTTATGAGACGATAAAAGGTCAGAACAACTTCGGTCACAAAGACTAGAAATGAATTTTGACCAGGGTGGAACCGATGAGATGCTTACAATAAGAGAACAGTGCCAAAGGGGTGGTTAAAAAAACACAGTGAGATATTTGAACCGAGTGGCGGGAGCTGCTGGGGCTCCGCGGAGGCCTGGTGCAGCGGGGCGGGGGGGGGGGGGGGGGGGCGGAGGGGAACGCGGGCGGGGGGCCTGGCCATGGCGCGGCAGCTGTCCGGGGAGCAGGGCATCACCCTGCGCGGCAGCGCCGACATCGTGGCCGAGTTCTTCTCATTTGTCATCAACAACATTTTCTATCAGCGCGGCATTCATCCGTCTGAAACCTTCACTCGCGTGCAGAAGTACGGGCTCACCTTGCTGGTCACCACGGACCCCGCGCTCACGAAGTACCTGAGCAACGTGATGGAGCAGCTGAAAAATCGGCTGTACAAGTGCTCTGTGCAGAAGCTGGTGGTGGTCATCTCGAATATTGAAGACGGGGAGGTCCTGGAGAGGTGGCAGTTTGTCATCGAGTGTGACAAGACGGCCAGAGATGACAGTGCACCCAGGGAGAAGTCTCAGAAAACCATCCAGGACGAGATCCGCTCGGTGATCAGACAGATCACCGCCAACCACGGTGACCTTCCTGCCGCTGCTGGAGGCTTCCTGTTCATTTGACCTGCTGATCTACACAGACAAAGACTTGGTTGTGCCTGGGAAGTGGGAAGAGTCCGGACCGCAGTTCATTGCCAATTCTGAGCAGGTCCGCCCGCGCTCCTTCACGACGACAATCCACAAGGTGAACAGCATGGTGGCCTTCAAGATCCCCGTCAACGACTGAAGGACCTGGGGCGGAATGGAATCCCACACGTGTGTCCTGAGGCCAAGTCAACTGTAGTTCTTGTTTTGTTTCATTGATACTTTTGAGGTGGGGAAACTTAGCCTTGTACTTCGCTGCACTGTGCGCATTGTCCATTTGTTTGTGCCTGTTTGACTGTTCATGGGGTTGACATGATTTCCATAGGGTTGACACTGTTCGGGAAGGGAACCAGCAGATCATGTCAGCACTGGAATGTCACCTCCTTTGAAGGTGGAAACTGGAGATGGGAAACTTTTGCTATTCAGCTAAATGCCTTCCTAAATCAGAACTTTCAGTCAAGTAGCCTGACTCCGAGTCTAGGTGACTATGGAACAGCAAAAGAAGTCCGAATATCAGAATCTTTGTTTAGTTCTAAAGTAACTGATCAGCCACAGTCACAGTATTCCTAGCAGGTCCTTTTGCCACTTATTTCATTTGTATAGTTTCCATATTGAAAACCCTCAATTACTTGACTTTAATGTATATAATTTACACTTACAAATCTGTCGCTATTTCTCCTGTTTCAATTCCGCTGATACAGAACTGTTAATGTCTTTTTGTGTTTTATAAAATCAAGCTTTAAATGACTGGGGGGAAAAAAAAACACACCACCACAGTGAGTCCTAACCGGTTTGGCTCAGTGGCTAGAGCATTGGCCTGCGGACTGAAGGGTCCAAGGTTCGATTCCGGTCAAGGGCATGTACCTTGGTTGCGGGCACATCCCCAGTGGGAGATGTACAGGAGGTGGCTGATCGATGTGTCTCTCTCATCGATGTTTCTAACTCTCTATCCCTCTCCCTTCCTCTCTGTAAAAAAAAATCAATAAAATATATTTAAAACATACAAACAAAAACACAGCCCGGCTGGCATGGCTCAATGGTGGAGTGTCGACCTAGGAACTGGGAGCTCGCGGTTCGATTCCCGGTCAGGGCACATGCCCGGGTTGTGGGCTCGGTCCCCAGTGTGGGGCGTGCGGGAGGCAGCAGATCGATGATTCTCTCTCATCATTGATGTTTCTTTCTCTCTCTCTTCCTTCCGCTCTGAAATCAATAAAAATATATTCAACAACAACAACAACAACAACAAAAAACACAGTGGGCCAGGGAGCAGAAACTGGGACTTTCTAAGAGTTCAGGGCAGAGATTTGGGATTGGTGGGGAGGAGAGCTCCGTGGGAGTTGAGAGCTAAGCAGAAGGCATGGATTCAGAAAGGCATTAGTATTGGTGTAATTTGTAGGGCTCCGAAGAAAGAATACTCTGCCTTAGCAACATTTCTTCAGAAAAGGTGGTAGGGTGTTGTGAATGCTTAGGGCAGGGGTGGGCAACCTTTTTGTGAGTGCGTGCCAAAACCAGCAAAATCTCTGACTCAAAATTCTTCTCCGTGCCAACCCTAATTTTTTGAGACCATGCCTACTTGATATCTCTTAAGGTGTACGTATGTGAAGAACCTTGAAGAAATAATAAAATTCATTCGAGCGACAAAAACACAGTATATGATGATGAAAAATACATTTATTTTTTAATGTATACATGTACACTGATAGTCCGACAGAAAACTTTATGACTGCGTTTGATATTATCAGTGGGACTTTTGCTGCTGCATCACCGATGACAGAGATTTTACATCAGGTTTATATTTCGTGACCTTCAGAGATATGCACGAGCTACTACTTTCATCCGTCAGGCTACTTCTATTACAAGACTTAACAAAATTCATCACTGAGAACAAAGATTCACAAACGTATGTGGATGAAACAAAAACACTGGTCGGATCTAGGAAGGCAGGGAGAGTTAAGGCAGAGGCATAGAAATTGCTCTTCCCCTCTCTCATCAATCCATGTCTATGGTCTTTAAGATAACTTGTTATGTAAAATTATTATTATTATTTTTTATATATTTTATTGATTTCTTACAGAGAGGAAGGGAGAGGGATAGAGAGTTAGAAACATCGATGAGAGAGAAACATCGATCAGCTGCCTCCTGCACATCTCCCACTGGGGATGTGTCCGCAACCCAGGTACATGCCCTTGACCGGAATCGAACCTGGGACCTTTCAGTTCGCAGGCCGACGCTCTATCCACAGAGCCAAACCGGTTTCGGCAATGTAAAATTATTTATTTAAGATGCACCTACACTGAATTTATCTGAAAAATAAAAAAGTCAATATTAAGAAAAAAATTGTAAATGGAAGGTTATAAGAGAGGGTTTCGCGTGCAAGCAAAAGTTACTGGCGTGCCAGGGGTTGCCCACCCCTGGCTTAGGGGTTTAGACCGGGTAGAAGTTGAGGTTTAATGAGTTCGGAGAGGCGGAGCAAACTTGGCGGGAGATGGCGCAACGTCAGCGGTTCCTAGAAAGAGGCAAGAAGCGAAGGCTGGCGCTGGACAGGGTTCACCTTAGGGAAGTCAGAGCACAGCCCTCGGGGCGGGTACAGATCAACGGTCAACACAGTTCAAAGGACGGGGAGAAAGTTCTGGGTTGGACGGAGGTGCCTGTCTAGTCTGCCGTCTAAACAAGGGAGGAAGCTACAAGTCAGGGCAACTCCGCTTCCGGCAGAGGCCCCGCCCCCGCCCCGGGTACGTCATCATCCCGCGCCCCCCGGCGCCGCTGAGTGTTGTTCCGCCACGCCCTCGCGGCGGTCGGAGCCCTGTCAGTGCCGGCAATGGCCGTGGCTCTGGCCCTGGGATTGTAAATTGGCGACTAAAGCTCCCGACGCGGCCACGGTCCCGATGGCGGCGGAGGCGGCGACCCTGGCTGCGGCCGACCCGCCTCCCGCGATACCGCAGGCGGCAGGAGCCGCAGCGCCCACCGCCCGCGGAGACTTCTACTGGCTGCGCTCCTTCCTGGCCGGAGGTGGGTGTCCGCGGGAGGACCCGGCCGCTCGGGGTGGCAGGGGCAGGCCGGGGGCTCGCGGCCGCGGTGACATCCTTGGACAATGGCAGCTCCCATGCCCTGCCAGATGCTGTCACCTTTTTCTAATAATCACCTGACAAGTGACCGCAGGGTCCCGGGTAGGAAGGGTCCGGAAGGGCAGAGCCAGGCACCCGTTCTTCATGGAGAAGAGGGGAGTCTCTCACAGAGACCCCAGGATCTCGGTGAAACATGCAGGGCACTGCCTTCTTGTGTAAAGACCACAGGTGGCTGCGTGTAGAATTGAATTTTGCTGTTTGCTTGAAAGAAAACAAAGAGCCGTTTAAACATGACTTGGGAAATTATGCAAAACTGGTTCCAGGGATTCTGGTCAACTCTGCCACCGCTACTTGGCAGGTGGCTGGTGCAGCCCCACTGTTGGTGTGACTGTGGGGCGGGGAGGTTCCTGTTGTCTCTGAGAAGTTTCCTCCGCCTTCCCAGAGAGAGGTGTTCCAATCCTTACCCTTTAACTGACGGTGTGGGTTGTCATCACTTACTTGTTACGGCTAAGAATTAAAAAAAAAAATCAAATTAGGAGGACTTATAGGAAGATCCTATCTGCCTGCTGCAGTAATTTTAAGAATTTATTCGGCTGCTGGAAAAGGGCATTCATCTGTTGATAAAAGGAACATTTGAGTGCCTGCTGTGTGCCTGCTACATGCTCATTGTACATCAGGGAGCAAAACAGAATCCTGGAGTTTACATTGGTTGAGGAGAAAGACAATAAGCAAAAGGAAAAAAAAATAAGTTGTATAGTATGTTAGAAGGTGCCGAATGCAGTGGGAGGAAGTGAAAAGGAGAACGGGGCAAGGACGTGGCGAGGCTAAGTGGGTGCATATTAAATAAGACGGTCGAAGTCAGTCTCCTTTGGAGGTGACACTCGAGCAGACTTGAAGAAGGGAGAGAGTTTAGCTAGTTGATGGCCAAGGAGGAGCATGTCAGGAGGAGAGAAAAGCGAGCGCAAAGGCTTCAAAGTGGGAGAGGGCCTCCTCTGTTCAAAGGTCAGCAGTGGTGCTGATGGGGGAAGGAGGTTAGAGACATCAAAGGGAGGCAGAAACGGAAGGGCCTTGCATTCCATTGTAAAGATTCTGACTTCCACTTGGAATGAAGTTGGGGCATTGTAGGCGGTTTTGTTGTTGTTGTTGTTGTTTTAATATCTAGGAAGGGCGAGTGGCCGCTGCAGGTATCATGCTAACCTGAGCTGTCAAAGTCTCTCCAGGTTGCTCTCACATGCAGTTGGAGAACCCGTGGCTACACCCAGACACAGCCCTTGGAAACATGCTGGCATTGCAAATCTTGAGCAGAGAAGTGACGTGACATGACACATTTCAAAAGGATCGCTACGGCTTCTCTGTGGAGAATCAAATGTAGGAGGGTAAATACGGAAGCAAGGAGACTAGTTTGTAGGTTATTGCAGTAATTCAGATGATGGGTAGTGGCTTGGATCAGGTCAGTAACAGGAGAGGTGGTGAAAAGTTGTGATAATCTGGATATAAATAGAACAAATAGGATTCTCTAACAGATTAGAAATGGGGTAAGGAAGATAAGTCAAGAGTGCCTCGTTTGGTTCGAGCAGCTGAAAGGTTGCGCTCATTTGCTGAAATGGAAGACTGTGGTTGGATTTTCATGATGGTTGGAGCAGGGAGATGAGTAGTTCAGTTTTAGACATGTTACATTTTGTGATTTGATTAGACTTTGATATAGAATCATGGTATGTGTAGGTGAGGATAATATATATATATATATATAATTTTTTAAATATATTTTTATTGATTTCAGGGAAGAAGGGAGAGGGAGAGAGAACTAGAAACATTATAAATGAGAGGGAATTATTGATCGGCTGCTGCCTGCATGCCCCCTACCGCAGCCCAGGCATGTGCCCTTGATCGGAATCAAACACGGGTCCGCAGGCTGACACTGTATCCACTGAGCCAAATCAGCTAGGGCGCAGCCAGGACTCTTCTATGCTACTGGTACAACCAGTTTGGAGAACTAGTTGGGCATTTACCTATGAAGCTGAGCATTTGTATGCCATATGATCCAGCAGTTCCACTCCTAGGTATATTTCAACATATATATTTCTGTTCATATCTATGACATTCATGGTAGCCCAAACCTAGAAGCAATCCAAATGTCCCTCAATGTTATAACACACTAGAGGCCCAGTGCACAGAATTTGTGCAGTGTGTGTGTCCCTCAGCCCGGCCTGTGCCCTCTTGCAGTCTGGGACCCCTTGGGGGATGTCCTCCTGCTGGCTTAGGCCTGATGCCCCCGGGCCTCTCGCAATCCGGGGCTCTTGCAGTCCGGGACCCCTCGCTCCTTACTGCCTGCCGGCAGTGGAGGTGGGAGAGGCTCCCGCCACTGCCGCTGCGCTCGCCAGCCATGAGCCCAGCTTCTGGCTGAGTGGCGCTCCCCCTGTGGGAGCGCACTGACCACCAGGGGGCAGCTACTGCGTTGAGCATTTGCCCCTGGTGGTCAGTGTGCGTAATAGCGACTGGTTGTTCTGCCATTTGATCTGTTTGTATATTAGGGTTTTATTATATAGGATTACCAAAATATGGTATAATCATACGATGAAATACTATGCAGCACTGAAAATGAATAAATTCCTCCCACATACAACAATGTGGATGAATCTCACAATCATAATATTGAACAGAAGAAGCCAGACACAAAGCAAGCCATACTGTGTGGTTTTATTTGTATAAAGTTTAAAAACAATCAAAACTAAGTCCATGTTGTTAGAAGCCAGAAAGCTGATTGATTATTTCTGAGAAGAAGGGACAAATAGTGATTATGGGTGTGCAGAAAGGACTTCTGGGAGTCTGGTAAAGTTTCATGATTTGAAACTTGGTTTGGGTGTTCCTTACATGATTGAATTCATCATTCGTTAAGTGGCATAATTAAGATTTGTGCACTTTTTTCTATGTATCTTACAGTTAGTTACCAATTAAAATCTATTAAAAAGAGGAAAAGAATTGGAGGCAGTAAGTATCTGAAACTGCAAAAGAATCTGTTGTTTTTATTAATCCTCACCTGAGGATATTTTTTCCATTGATTTTTAGAGAGGGTGGGGGAGAGACAGAGAAAAGCATTGATGTGAGAGAGACACATGGATTGGTACTTCCTGCATACCTTAACCAGGGCCGGGGATGGAACTTGTAACCAAGGTACATGCCCTTGACCAGAATCAAACCCAAGATCCTTCAGTCCACTGGCTGACACTCTAACCAATGAGCAAAAAATGATATGATATATTTCAAAGGATCACTTTGGCTTCTCTGTTGAAAATCACTGTAGGAGGGTAAATATGGAAGCAAGGAGATTAGTTTGTTTTAAAATAAGTTTTATTAAGGTATAATTTATACACAGTAAAATTCACCCTTAATTTAGATGCATTTTCTACTCTTGATATTTTCGATTTACAATATCAGGATATAACCCATTGTAAATCAAGAATCATATGTACATGTAAGGTGTCTTAGTTCATTTGGACTGCTCTAACAGAAATACCATAATCTGGGTGTCTTATAAACAACAACATTTATTTTTCATAGTTCTAGAGCAGGGGTCCTCAAACTTTTTAAACAGGGGGCCAGTTCACTGTCCCTCAGACCGTTGGAGGGCCGGACTATAGTTAAAAAAAAACAACTATGAACAAATTCCTATGCACACAGCGGTGGCAAAAACACCCGGCGGGCCGGATAAATGTTTTTGGCGGGCCGCATGTGGCCCGCGGGCCGTAGTTTGAGGACCCCTGTTCTAGAGGCTGGGAAGTCCAAGATCATGAACTTGACATTCTGGTGAAGACTAGACAGCACCTTCTTTGCTGTGTTTTCACAAGGTGGAAGGGGCCAGGGATGTCTGGGGCCTTATTTATAAGGGCACTAATCCCATTGTTGGTGCCCTAATAATGGTTGAATCATATTATGTTTTATAAACATAAACATGCAGAACCCCTAGGTTTTAGGACCCATTCACCTCCTAAAACCCCACCTCTGAATGCCCTCACATTTGGAATTAGTTTTCAACATATGAATTGGGGTGGGATAGGCAGCACAAACAACATAGCAAAAAAGTCTTTATACATTATCTCCTTAGGAGCATTCCAAGCTAGTAGGGCTGTCCTGTATGTATGTTACTATCATCCACATGACTGCACGGTGGCATATGGTAGGGGCCAAATACATAATTGCTGAATGTATGAAAGGATGATTGAATGTTATGGTAAAAGTTGTTTGTTTCAATGTAAAAGTTATACAAAAGAAGAGGAGGTTGCTTCAAATAGAGCCTTACAGTTGAGTAAATACCTTGAAGTGTCTCTATAACCACATGTAGCAAGATTCCCAGTGTTCACCAGTTATTAGGAGACAGATTTACACCTTCAAACTTAATTTTATTTATTTATATATATATATATATATATATATATATATATATATATATTTATTTATTTAAATATATTTTATTGATTTTTTTACAGAGAGGAAGGGAGAGGGATAGTCCGCAGGCCGACGCTCTATCCACTGAGCCAAACCGGTCAGGGCGATTTAAATATATTTTTATTGATTTCACAGAGGAAGGGAGAGAGAGAGAGAGAGAGATAGAAACATCAATGATGAGAGAGAACCACTGATCAACTGCCTCCTGCATCCCCCCTTACTGGGGATCGAGCCCACAACCTGGGCATGTGCTCTTGACTGGAATCGAACCTGGGACCCTTCAGTCCACAGGCCAGCGCTCTATCCACTGAGCCAAACTGGCTAGGGCCAAACTTAATTTTAAGTATGACATGTTCATTTAGTAAGTTATAGAGAACAAGGGTTAATCATCTGCACATCACATCACTTCTACTGGGCAGTGGAAGAACAAGTGAAAGATCAGAGGGTGTATGTTGGCTGAACAAATAATGATTTCCATCTGGAAAGAAATGGTATTCAATTTCTCCCTAACCTCTTACATTTTTTTTAGGTATTGCAGGATGCTGTGCTAAAACAACAGTTGCTCCTCTGGATCGAGTAAAAGTTTTATTACAAGCTCACAATCATCATTACAAACATTTAGGTGAGTTAATAGATGCTAAAGAAAAAGATGAATGAAAACATTATCCATCTGCAGGCTTGGTTTCCATTTGTGAATTATAGTAGAGGATCCAAAAGGGAATTACAGTTTGGGGGCATATTTTACAAGGGATATCTCTTATCCAATTTAGTCTTTTCATTTGCAGTAGTGGTTATAATCATTTTAGGGTGCTGATATCCTCTAAACCAAAATCTTTGAATCATTGAATCATTGTTTATTGGGATTACTGTGTCACACCTTGACAGACATGTTAACAGCATAGCCTGATTAAAAAAGTAAAATCAGTGATGGAGATATGGTTATTCCTTTAAACACTTAGTTAAATATGCCTTCTAGAAATCTTAGTGCAAGCAGAATCCAGTGCAGTTAGTATATATGGGTAAATGTACATTATTAAAAGAATATCAAGCCCTTAGTTGTTCTTTACAAACATAAAAATCCATTTAATTAACATGGACACTAATAATATATCACTGCCCTGGTAGGTTTGGCTCAGTGGATAGAGCGTCGGCCTGTGGACTGAAGGGTCCCGGGTTTGATTCCTGGTCAGGGCACATTCCCGGGTTGCGGGCTCCATCCCCAGTAGAGGGTGTGCAGGGGGCAGCCTGTCAATGATTCTCTGTCATCATGAATGTTTCTCTCTCTCCTTTCTTCTCTCTGAAGTCAATAAAAATATATTAAAAAAATAATATATCGTTGATGGTAGTAATAATTTTTTGGAGGACATTTTTGGTAAATGCATCAAAAAGACACATCCTCGCCCTAACTGGTTTGGCTCAGAGGATAGAGCATCGGCCTGCGGACTGAAGGGTCCCAGGTTTGATTCCGGTCAAGGGCATGTACCTTGGTTGCGGGCACATCCCCAGTAGGGGGTGTGCAGGAGGCAGCTGATCGATGTTTCTCTCTCATCGATGTTTCTAACTCTCTATCCCTCTCCATTCCTCTCTGTAAAAAAAATCAATAAAATATATTTTTTTAAAAAGAAACTGCCATTGTTAACATGTTAAGTGTATTTCCTCCCTTACTTTTCATGCAATACAATGCCATCTATTTAAAAAAAAAAATACATCCTCGCAGTGTGGCTTAGTGGTTGAGCGTTGACCCTTGAATCAAGAGGTCCCTGTTTGATTTGCGTACTTGATCCCCAGTAGAGGACATGCAGAAGGCAGCCCATGGATTTTTCTCTCTCATTGATGTTTCGTCTCTCTATCCCTCTTCCTTCCTCTCTCTTTAAAAAATCCATAAAAACATATTTTTTTAAAAAACCACACACACAAAAAACAAGCCTTTATTAAAAAAAAAAAAAAAAGATTCTTCCTCTCCAGCCTTGCAATTCTAGTTCTAGGGGGTTATTTTAAGGAAGTACTAATCAGAAATGTGCTAAAAAATGTGTATATGAGAATCAAAGCATTATTTATGTTAGTAAAAATAACAAACCGAGACAAAGCTTTTAATAATAGGGAATTGGTTAAATAAGTATTATTTAGATAAATAAATAAGTCCATATTATAGACTATTTTGCAATTGTAAAACTTATAAAAGTATTGACTATGAACAATGTTCATAATGTATTAGTTAAATGTGGAAATATTACAACATGGTAGAATTATATTGCATTTTATATAAATAAATGTGCTTAGACAAAAGGCTAGAAGGACAAACATTAACATTAGTGGTTAATATTCAGTGGTGAGATTAGAGTAAATTTTTTTCCTCTAAGTCTGCGATTTTCAAACTTTTTCATCTCATGGCACACATAAGCTAATTACTAAAATTCTGCGGCACACCAAAAAATTTTTTGCTGATCTGATGAAAATAGTATAATTTTGATCCATTCATACTGGATGACTATTGTTGTTGGTTGTTGTAATTAAATGTTTTTATTGATTTAATAGAGAGAGGAAGGGAGAAGGAGAAACATAGATTGGCTGCCTCCTGCACGCCCCCTACTGGGGACTGAGCCTGCAACCCCAGCATGTGCCTTAATCGAACTGGCAACCTCCTGGTGCAAGGGATGACATTCTAAACCACACTGACTTGACATTTTTTTATTTGACAACCTTAGGGAAAAGAGGACAGTGCCCCTGACTAAATAGTCTGGTATTGCATGTTTAAAAATTTTGGGGGGCACACAGGTTGAAAATCACTTTTCTAAGTTAATTTGTAATAATGTTGAACATACATGTATTACCTTTTCAATTAGAGGGAAAAAGATTTTAGAAAAATTAATGTGGACAGAGACCAAGAAAGAAATTAGGTTGAGGCAACTAACTCAGGCCACTTCATTGCTTTCAGTTTCTTGCATAATTGGATAGGAATGATGTGTGCTCTGCTGTGCAGCATCTTATATAATAAAAGCCCAATATGCAAATCAACCAAATGGCAGAACTACTGGTGCAATGACTGGTGGCTATGGCACACACTGACCACCAGGGGGCAAGATGCTCAATGCAGGAGCTGCTCCTAGCCTGCAGGCCCCAGGCCAGCCTAGGCGGGTGCCAGCGGGGGGGGGGGGGGCCCCCCCGATTGCCCCGCTGGTCGCCCCACAGATCAGCCCCTGATAGCCAGCCAGGCCTAGGAACCCTATCCGTGCATGAATTTCGTGCACTGGACCTCTAGTCAGTGTATTAACCCTTTGAGTGCCAACCAATATTCTAGAACAGCCGTGGGCAAACTACGGCCCACGGGCCTTGAAATGAATAAAACTAAAAAAAAAAAAGACCGTACCCTTTTATGTAATGATGTTTACTTTGAATTTATATTAGTTCACACAAACACTCCATCCATGCTTTTGTTCCGGCCCTCCGGTCCAGTTTAAGAACCCATTGTGGCCCTCGAGTCAAAAAGTTTGCCCACCCCTGTCCTAGAAACTATGCTAAACTTGCCAAGGCAGCCCTAACCGGTTTGGCTCAGTGGATAGAGCGTCGGCCTGCGGACTGAAAGGTCCCAGGTTTGATTCTGGTCAAGGGCATGTACCTTGGTTGCAGGCACATCCCCAGTAGGAGGTGTGTAGGAGGCAGCTGATCGATGTTTCTCTCCCATTGATGTTTCTAACTCTCTATCCCTCTCCCTTCCTCTCTGTAAAAAATCAATAAAATGTATTTTAAAAAAATTCTGCCAACAGTGGTGACTTTAAAAAAAAATAAAAATAAAAAAAAATAAATAAAATTGCCAAGGCATTTTTGCTGATTTTACAGCAGTTTAGGAAAAAAATTATGAATCGCAAGTAAATGAAGTTACATATTCAAAAACTTAAGGAAACCTTTACTACATTTGTTTTCATCTTTGACATATATTGTTTGCTGATTGTATTATAAAATACTAGTAGAAAAAAAAATTGCCGATAGCGCTCCCAGCGCTTTCGGCGAAAGACAAGAGGAGAGCAATCGCGCTCCCCGGCACTCTAGGGGTTAACAGAGTGGATAAGAATCAATTATTTTTTGAAGATGCCACATACTTTTTTTTATTATTGATTTTAGAGAGAGAGAGAGAGAGAGAAACATCTTTGTTGTTCCACTTATTTATTCATTCACTATTTGATTCTTGTATGTGCCCCAACTTGTGCCACAACCTTGGCTTATCGAAACAAGTCTCTAACCAGCTGTGCTACCCAGCAAGGGTCAATTCTTTTTCAATGGTTTTTTTTAAATGTGATTTTTCTAAAAAAAAAAATTTTTTTTTTCTTTTGGTATAGCAAAGGTGGAGATTTATTGAAGAACAAGTACAGACTCCCACATGGGGAGAGGGAAAGAGTCGCCCAGAAGGGACTCCCACGTAGGGAGGGGGAAAGGATCCCCTAAAAATTGTTTTTGAATGGATATTTTATATCTTATATTAATTGTAGCTCATTTTCTTGTCAATATTTTTAATACTAATTTTTTACTTAAAATTGAAAGAAAAAAATTGCTACCATATCTGTCCAGCAAAAAATTCTATATTTTCACAGTGTGCTGCTCATGTGTAGAAAGAATGAGACCTTTGAATTTATTGAGAGAGTATATAAAACTGAAAAGGAAGGAAATTATTTTCTTTTGTTATCTAAATTGAAGGTGAAAACGAGATGAATTATTTTACTCAGTATCTTGGAGTGCTTTACAATGACCCAACATAGGAATGTCTGAGCAGGATTGTTTTATTCCTTTAATCTTCTCCCCATGCTGATCTTTGTTAGCTTGTTTACTGATTTGTAATCATTAGATTACACATTCACATTAGATTTCATGCTCTACAGGACTGAATGCCATGGGTTACAGTATACCCTACAAAGTATGCAAAATTTGAAATAGAATTTGTGGGGAGATTGAGGTATCTTTAAAATATTCAAGCCATTAAAAAAAGGTGTTGTTGGCTTTTTATTATTTTTATTATTATTAAATATATTTTATTGATTCCAGAGAGGAAAGGAGAGGGAGGGAGGGAGGGAGGGAGAGAAACATCAGTGATGAGAATCATTAACCAGCTGCCTCCTGAATGCCCCCCACCGGGGATCGAGCCCACAACTCAGGCATGTGCCCTTGACCTGAATTGAACCCTGGACCCTTCAGTCTGCAGGCCAATGCTCTATCCACTGAGCTAAACCAGCTATGGCAAGATGTGCTATTTAAATATATATATATATATATTTGGTTAATAATATATATATATTATTGATTTCAGAGAGGAAGGGAGAGGGCAATAGAGATAAAAACATCAATGATGAGAAAGAATCATTGATCAGCTGCCTCCTGCATGCCCCACTCTAGGGATCAAGCCTGCAACCTGGGTATGTGCCCTGACCGGGAATCGAACCAAGACCTCCTCGTTCATAGGTCGATGCTCAACCACTGAGCAACACCAGCCAGGCAGAAGATGTGCTATTGAATAAAACTTCTTTAGCTTCTTTTAAAAAATGTGTTAGCCATTCATTTCTTGGGTTTTTGCTACTGTCCAGTGAGTGTGTAGTGAGGGCAGTACTGCCAGTGCCTAAACCAGGGGTGGGGAACATCTGGCCCTCCGGCCATATAAGTCCGGCAAAATCATTTGTTCTGGCTCTGCCAAGGCATGAGGGGTGAATTAATTAAATGTTTGACCAAATGTAGCAGGCTAATTTTTAAGTTGGTAATCTTGTAATGGCCTGTGAATTATGTTATAAATATCCAATGGCCCTTGGTACAAAAAGGTTCCCCAACCCTGGCCCAAACAGTACTTCATATTAGTGAGAATTCTGCTTTACCATGGTGCAATTTTTGGAAAAAATAAAATAAATAAATAGCCCGCCTGGCATGGTTCAGTGTTTGACCTATGAACCAGGAGGTTACGGTTCCATTCCTGATTGGGGCACATGCCTGGGTTGTGGGCTCGATCCCCAGTGTGATGCGTGCAGGTGGCGGCCAATCAGTGATTCTCTCTCATCATTTATGTTTCTATCTCTCCCTCCCCTTCCTCTTTGAAATCAATAAAAATATATTTTGAATAAATAAATAAATAAAATTCAAAATGAGCCTAGTGATTTACTTTCATATTTGATCAAATTTTTGTTTCAAAAATTTGGGAAGGAGCTTGAATTTAAATAGTTTAATAATGTAGCCCAGCTGGAGTGGTTCGGTGATTGAGCGTGGACACATGAACCAACAGGTCACTGATTCCTTTCCCAGTGACGGCACATGCCCAGGTTTCAGGTTCAGTCCTCAGTAGGGGTCATGCAGTAGGCAGCTGGTCAAGGATGTTTCTCTCTTATTGATGTTTCTATCTCTCTATTCTTCTCCCTTCCTCTCTCTCTAAAAATCAATAAAAATATTTAAATACTTTAATAATGGAAGTATTCAGTGATATGTTTATTGGAAGTCTGTACTACAAATGGGATTAGTGATTAATCTTATTTTTTTCTCTTTTTTTATTAGTTTTTACTTTTTTGCATGTATAATTATTATTATTTTTATTTATTGATTAAGGTATTACATATGTGTCCTTATCCCCCCTAAAATTAATAGAATAAAAATATCAATATTTAGGATCAGAACTTAGGCCTTTATCAGTATTCTTAAAGTGTCCTAGTAATGAAAATTTGCCCCCAAATTTAAATTGCTTTAATAGTTTTTTATTTGTTTCTTTTATGTAGCAGTATTCTTTTTAAAAATATATATTTTTATTGAATTCAGAGAGGAAGGAAGATGGATAGAGAGATAGAGACATCAATGATGAGAGAGAATCATTGATTGGCTGTCTCCCACACGCCCCCTACTGGGGATCGAGCCCACAACCTGAGCATGTGCTCTTGACCAGAATCTAACCTGGGACCCTTTAGTCCACAGGCTGATGCTATATCTATCCACTGAGCCAAACCAGCTAGGGTTATTTAGCAGTATTCTTATGTAAACAAACCACACATGTATCTGGGCAGTCTGGGAAACTGTTTTCATCCTTCCGGATAGAGTTGATCATCTGCACTGCTGTATATAGACCTTGAATATATTTCTGTTGTTAATATTTTTTAGATTGCTATAGTTGAATATAATTTATGATAATTACAAATATAATTTACTATAATTTGTAGCTGTTTTTGCTATTATATGTTTTATATTTATGTAATTTGAGCAAGTGAGGCATTTTAAGTAGTATTAACTTATATAGAAATTACTATTCATGTAATTCATCAAACAAAATTATATTATGAATGATGGCATTAGTAATCTATCTGTGATTGTCATGAAAATTTGAATTTAGATAGTTTTCTGTTTTAATATTTTTTTTCTAAAAATCTTTCTAAAAATAGGAGTATTTTCTACATTGCGTGCAGTTCCCCAAAAGGAGGGATACCTTGGATTGTATAAAGGGAATGGCGCAATGATGATTCGAATCTTTCCCTATGGGGCAATCCAGTTTATGGCGTTTGAGCACTACAAAACGGTGAAGTTTTGTTTTCTTTTGTTTCCTTAAATATCATGCTTAGTTGAGAAGGCATTTGCTTTGGCCTATAAAGTTACTTTGGAAGATGGCTAAATTAATGCCTTTTTGAAGGAATAAGACTTGTGATAGTTTAAAATTTTAAATATAACTTGGTTTTTGAAGTTATCTATTTCAGAATTATTAGTCATTTTTGAGAAAATTGTTTATATTCACACTTATGAAGAAGAGCCAAAGTATCCTTCAAGTAGATAACAATAAATGCTTAAACTATTAATAGCTCTTTAATGTGCTTTTTGTGTCTCAATTGTAGGAGAGGAACATTGTGGCTTTTGATTTTCTTTTTTAAAAAAAATATATTTTATTGATTTTTTACAGAGAGGAAGGGAGAGGGATAGAGAGTTAGATACATCGATGAGAGAGAAACATCGATCAGCTGCCTCCTGCACACCCCCTACTGGGGATGTGCCCGCAACCAAGGTACATGCCCTTGACCGGAATCGAACCTGGGACTCTTCAGTCCGCAGGCCAATGCTCTATCCACCGAGCCAAACCGGTTAGGGCTGATTTTCTTACTAAAATGGCAAAATCATATTGTAAAAGTTTGTTAATAAATAATGATCTAATAAGTTAACAGCTTTTTCTGTCTTACTCATTGATCAGGTTTCTTTTTTCTAGCTGACGGAAAGTTTATCCTCTCAAATATTCAGACATCTTAACACAGAAAGGGGTTAAATTTCACAGTGTATCTTTTTTTTAATGACTCCATTTTAAAATTTTATTTATTTATTTTTTAGATAGAGAGGGAGAGAGAGAAACATCGATGGGTTGCTTGCCATAAGCATCCTTCCAGGAATGGAATGCACAACCTGGGTATGTGCCCTGAACTGGAATCAAACCTGCCACCTTTCGGTGTATGGGATAATGCTCCAACAACTGAACCACACCTGCCAGGGCTCACAGTGTATCTTAAAATGAAAGTAAACTTTAGAGATGTGACAACATTCTAAGCTAGCCTGTCAGATAGAATGGATGCCCTCAGTATATTAAGACTGCATTGTCTGTAGAAGCATTTTATTCCTTCTACTCCCATTCACACTCTATTTGTGGTCATCAATGTGTAGTATATTCAGTAATTCTAAGGTAGATTGCTCTGTAAAAGTACAAAATTAGAGCAGAGGCTATAGACGAAATATTTGACCTCTTCATAATGTGATATAATGCTGTCCAGCTTCATATAAGTGTGCTCATTTCACTCCCATTTAATACTGATTTTCTTTTTACTAGTTCTGTAACTCTTTTGAAATAAGTCTTCATTATTAAACAGTGAAATGGGTAGCATTTTTAAAATATCTTATTTAAAAATACTTGATGTTTTTGGTTTCTAGTTCATTACTACAAAGCTGGGAATTTCTGGTCATGTGCACAGATTAATGGCTGGATCCATGGCAGGTAAGAGGAGTGGGTATATTTTATTTCTAACAAATTTAATTTGGTTTAGCTGATATGTGTGACATTGATTAAGTAGCATACATTTGTTAACTTTCTGTATTCAATTATATAAGAAATCATTGATATTTCTACTCAAAAAGAGCATTTTACATTAGGAGATGGTAAGGAATAGTCTAAACTTACAAGAAAGGAAAAAACATGCAGTCTCTTTGACAATTCTCCTTCTGAAAATGTTTTTGTTTTGTTTTTCTAAAAAATTTTTAAAATTATAACAACTATAGTAATACCTACTCCTATACAATGAAAATAGTTTCACTCCCTAGAAGCAATCAGTATTAATAATTTCTTATGTATGCTTTTTTCTAACCCTACCCTATGGGATAAGAACTTTTCTTTTAGTTATCTCAAGACTCTTTTTATATCAGTACATAGATCTTATTTTTTTTAAAGAATTGCGTTATATCCTTTTTTTTGAGAGGTCAAATTTCTTTCTTTTTATTTTTAGAACTGTGTTATATTCTAAGGTAATGTACCATGGTTTATTTAATCAGTCCCCTATTGATTGACATTTGGGATATTTTCAGTTTCTGTTTTACAAATAACACATTGTACTTGTGTGACTATATCTGTAGAATAAATTTTCAGAAGGGAAATTGCTTTATCAGAGGATATGTATATTTAAATTTTGACAGACATTGGCAAACTGATCTCCATAATGCTTTCAATGGCCTTTTCCCTTATATACCAACACTGGATCTTACAAAAATTTTAATACATGGAAATTAATTATGAATAAGGTTGATCAGCATTTCAAATTTTAGTGACCATTTGTATTTCTCTTAGTTGTTTCTATTCTTTAAATATTCATTTTTATGAGTTTTGGAATTAGGACATTTGTTTTCTGTGAAATATTGCTAATATTTTATATCCTAGTTTTAGATTTGTCTTTTGACCTTATTTGTGATTTTTTAGAAAAGTCCATCTAAAAGTTGTTTTTAACCCCCTCATATAGAAGTTTTACATAGCCAAATGCGTTAGTCTTTTTCTCTGTGGCTTTAACATTTTGTGTTGTGTTTATAAATGCCTTTCCCTTTCTTATTTTAAAAAATATTTTTATTGCCCTAGCTGGTTTGGCTCAGTGGATAGAGCGTTGGCCTACGGACTGAAGGGTCCCAGGTTCGATTCCGGTCAAGGGCACATGCCCAGGGTTGTGGGATTAATCCCCAGTAGGGGCGTGCATGTGCCCTTGAACGGAATCAAACTCAGGACCCTTCAGTCCGAAGCCTGACACTCTATCCACTGAGCCAAACCAGCCAGGGCAATGCCTTTCCCTTTCTAAGAGCAACAGCTATTTGCCAGGTGGCCAGGTGGTATAGAAATATTTGAGTATTTTACATTGACATGACGGTGTTGGTGAGTAATATTCGCTAACATGTATTGCTCAATTGCTATGTGCTGTTCATAGACCTGAGCCTGTGACATGTCGTCATGCCTATTGCTATGGAGATAGTTTTTCCTTCTGCTATCTTATGTTGAAATAGACAATAGAATTTACAAAATACTTGTGACCCATTTACACTGTACTGTTTTATTGCTAACAATATATCTTCACAATGGGCAGAGCTTGAAAAGATTTTACAAACTGACCCTTTACTTACAAGGTTGTTTTCAGCTTATGATATTATGATAAAATTGTATCAATATCACCTTTGATTTCATTAGGCTTTCATCATTGCTATAATTTGAGAACACAACAAATGATAGGAAAGATATATATATATATATCTTTCATAAATATGACATATATGATGTGATATAATGATAGGAAAGAGATATATGTGTCAAAAAATTTATTGTAAATTTAAGTTTCTACTTTTTTCAGGTATGACAGCAGTTATCTGTACTTACCCTCTTGACATGGTTAGAGTTCGCCTAGCATTCCAGGTGAAAGGGGAACACACTTACACAGGAATTATTCATGCATTCAAAACAATTTATGCAAAGGTACATATTTACTTTTCTCATTTATAAAGTCTTTTTATATTTAGAAAAATATTTTGAATATTATCTAAATAATTATTCTATTATTTATAAGTAATTGATAATAATAATATTTATGAAAACACATCTGTGTTTCAAGGTGGGTCCCAGAATAATATTTTTGTTATGATGTATGCTTTTTTTCCCCCTGCTAATCCTCACCTGAGGATTTTTTTTCTTTTTAATATATTTTTATTGATTTCAGAGAGGAAGAAAGAGGGAGAGAGAGATAGAAATATCCATGATGAGAGAGAATCACTGATCGGCCGCCTCCTGCAACTCCCACTGAGGATGGAGCCCACAACCCAGGCATGTGCCCTTGACTGGAATCGAACCTGGGACCCTTCAGTCCGCAGGCTGACGCTCTATCCATTGAGCCAAAGTGACTAGGGCTTTCCATTGATTTTTAAAGAGAGTGGAAAGGAGAGAGGTGGGGGGGAGGGAAACATCGATGTTAGAGAGACATAACGACTGGTTGTTTTCCACACGCACCCGACAAGGTCCAGGGATGGAGCCTGTAACCAGAATTAAACCCGGGACCCTTCAGTCTGAGGGCCTACATTCCATCCACTGAGCAGAACTGGATAGGGTGATATATGCTTTTTAAAACATTTTTACTTATTGATTTTTTTTTAGAGAGAGGGAAAGAGGGAGAGGGGGTGAGAGAGAAAGAGAAACATTGATTTGTTGTTTCTCATTTATGCATTCATTGGTTGCTTCTTGTATGTGCCCTGACTGGTGATCAAAGCCACAACCTTGCAGTATCAGGACGATGCTCTAACCAACTGAGCTACCAGGCCAGGACTATAATGTATGCCTTTGTTCTTTGATGTTTATCATAATGAAAGAAATGTAATCTTACTTCTGTTGTTTCTTCATTCAAAAGGAAGGCGGTTTCCTTGGATTTTACAGAGGCTTGATGCCTACTATATTAGGAATGGCTCCATATGCAGGTATGTTTCAAATTTGGCAGAATTTTGGTTTTTCATTTTCTTTTAAGAATGATTTTTTAAGTTTAGCATTTTATATTTAAGCCACTAATCTGTCAGGATTATTTTTTTCCTCCTTAGGGTAACCATTTGACTCAGCACCATTTATTAACTAGTCCCTCCTTTCCCCAGTGATTTTCAGTGCTACTTCTTAAAACAATAATTGCGTGCAGTTTCATATTTGGTAGGACAAGTCCCAGGACTTTATGCTTTTTTCCTCCCAGGAATGTAAGAACTGTAGATATTTTGTTATTCCACAGACTTTGAAATCAGTTTTTGATGTTGCAAAAGCACTTTTGTTGGGATTTTGAATGAAATTTCATACAGTTTTTGGACATTTTTGCGAAATCTAGTCATTGACACCTTATAAGCTTTGTTTTTTAGAAAATTACATTTTAAGTTAATTGCTTGATTTAATTTTGACATGATCTTATAACTTGCTGTTATCCCACTTGTTGATATTATAGCCGCCCACCATGTTACTTGTAGATGTTTTGGATTTTCTGTGTGGACGGTCAGATCCTGTGCAAATAATATTATTTTTCTAACTTCATCTAATTCTTATTTTTTAAAAATTTGTTTATTTATGTTTGTCTTATCCTACTATACTAGCTAAGGACCTACAATGCAGTGGTGAATAAAAATCATGATCCTGGGCATTTTGGCTCATTACTGATTTTAAAGGGAATGTTTCTAATACTTCTCATTTAGCATAATGTTTACTGTAGTGTGTACCGCTTATTAGGTTCAGGAAGTTTTGATAAGAACCTTTAGCTGAATTGGTGTTGAACATTGTCAGATACCCTTTTTTGCATTTACTGAGGTGATCATATAGTTTTCTCCTTTAATGGGTTAATATGGTTCATGACATTAATGTCAACCCAAATTGGTTGTGATGCATTGATCTTTTTATATCCTGTTGGATTCAATTTGCTGTCCTTTTAAGTTTTACAGTTATATTTATAAGTGAGATTACTTTGTAATATCCTCAAGATCTCATACAAGAAATTAAAGAGTATTTCTTCATTTTCCATCCTCAGGAAGAATCTGTATAAAATGATTGGAATTACCTTGTTTCTTGAAAGCTTTAATTGTGGGATGGTTTTAAATACTGGCTTAGTTTCTTGAATGATTATAGGGTTGTACAGTTTTCGTGCCATTTTTGGTAATTCATACCTTACCTTTACTGTTTTGGGCTAGTTTTCAAAATTTTTTATTTTTTTAAAATATATTTTTATTGATTTCAGAGAGGAAGTGAGAGAGAGATAGAACATCAATGATGAGAATGTTGCAGGCTCCCTCCTTACTGGGGAGGGAGCCTGCAACCAGGCACGTGCCCTTGACTGGAATCGAACCTGGGACCTTTCAGTCCACTCTATCCAATGAGCCAATCTGGCTAGGGCTAGTTTTCAATTTTTTGTTAAAAGGTTTTCCATTTTTGCCCTGCCGGTGTGGCTCAGTGGTTGAGCATTGACCTCTGAACCAGGAGGTCATGGTTCAATTTCTGGTCAGGGCAAGGACACATGCCCGGGTTGAGTGCTCGATCCCCAGTATGGGGCATGCAGGAGGCAGCTGAACAATGATTCTCTCTTTGTTTCTATCTCGCTCTCCCCCTTTCTTCTGCTCTGAAATCAATAAAAATAGATTAAAAAATTTTCTTTTTCATTTTTTTTTAAAATATATTTTATTGATTTTTTACAGAGAGAAAGGGAGAGAGAGAGTTAGAAACATCGATGAGAGAGAAACATCGATCAGCCGCCTCCTGCACATCTCCTACTGGGGATGTGCCCGCAACCCAGGTACATGCCCTTGACCGGAATCGAACCTGGGACCTTTCAGTCCGCAGGCCAACGCTCTATCCACTGAGCCAAACCGGTTTCGGCTCTTTTTCATTTTTATATTATTTGTTTATTTATGTTTAGGGAGAAAGAGAGATGAAGTGAAAGAGAAACAGAGAGAAAGAGAAACATCAATTTGTTGTTCCACTGGTTTATGCATTCATTGGTTGGTTCTTGTATGTGCCCTGATTGGGGATCTAACTCAAAACCTTGGTGTATTTGAATGTTTCTCTAACCAACTGAGCTACCTGGCTAGGGTTTTCCTTATTTTTTCATAATTTTTCACATCTGATCTATCTATAGTTATGTCCCACTTTTCATTTTTGTTTACATGTTCTCTTCTCTAGTCAATTTCATTGATTTTTGTTCATGCCTTAATTATCACCTTCTTTCTCTGGGTTTATTCTTCAGTTGGATGCTTACCTCATTAACTTTCAACCTTTAGGTTTGTTTTCTTTCCTAATGTAAGCATTTTTCTTCTAAATGCTGCTTTAGCTGCATCTAATGAGTTTCTTTTAGTTGTTTTTACTTAAAATTTGGACATTTTCAAACATACTCAAAAGTAGACAATAGTGTAATGAACCACCATGTACCTATCACCTAGCTTCAATAGTGATCAACTCATGACCAGTCTTACTTTAACTCCTAATTACTCCCTCCACCTTCATCTCAAATTGTTTTAAAGGAAATCCACTTTATTTCATCCACAATATATCTGTATTGAGCTCTTTATGCTTTTATAAAAGCATGACCTCATACCATTTGAAACTTTAAAAAAAATTCTGAGTAGCATTTAGTCATTGTTCAAATTCCTATGCACCTCATAATTATTATTTTTTTAAAAATATATTTCATTGATTTTTTACAGAGAGGAAGGGAGAGGGATAGAGAATTAGAAACATCAATGAGAGAGAAACATCCATCAGCTGCCTCCTGCACACCTCCTACTGGGGATCTGCCCACATCCAAGGTACATGCCCTTGACCGGAATCGAACCTGAGACCCTTCAGTCCACAGGCCGACGCTCTATCCACTGAGCCAAACCTGTCAGGGCCACCTCATAATTATTTTTTTGGCCATATCCAAGTTAATGTTTGCCTGGTATATCTTTTTTCATCCTTTTTATTTTCTACTTTTTCATGTCTTTATGTTTTAGGTACTTCTTTTGTAATCATTTGTAGTTGGATATTTTATTTAATCTAGTCTGTAAGGTATTTTAATTGTCAGTTAGTCTAGTTAATTGTTATTGTGACTGTTGATATATTTGGACTTGTTTCTATACCTTGCTATTTGATTTCTATGTGTTGCTTTTCTTTTTCTTTTTTAAATTCCTTTCTTACCTTGTTTGCTTATTTTTCTAAACACTTACACCCTTACTCTTTTTTTTAACCTTCCTGAATTTATTTATTTAAAGATTTTTTAGAGAGAGAGAGAGGGAGAGAGAGAAACATCTATGTAGGAGCGAGATATAGATCAGCTACCTCCTGCACTGTCCCCTGCTGGGGATTGAGCCCTAAACCCAGCATGTGCCCTGACCAGGACACAGGACAATGACCAACCAACTGAGCCACACCAGCCAAAGTCTCCCTACTCTTTATAAATACACACATTTATTTGCCTTCTCCTATATTTCGTGGTCTTTAGTAGTGAGCTTATTACTTGATCTTAATCTCTGAGTTTCAGACTCAGTGATTCCTTCCTCCATAGGACCAATGGCAGGGTCCATCTCAATGGCCCTGCTGCTATTGGCTTCAGTATGGACTTGTTATACCACTCTCTTGGGCCAGCTTTTATTTTTGGAAGGTGGTGGTTCTGGGGCTTCTTGGAGACCTCATTCTTTTTGCAAGCCCAGCAATGGATGTAGTTGTTCCGCAGTGACAAAGTCCCTCAGAATACATATATTGCCATTATGCTGGAGGCAGAGCTCTTTAATTTTTTGCTATATTTTCTTGTCTTTATATTTTTTTGTTTTTGTTTTATTTTTACATATATATTATTGATTTTAGAGAGGAAGGGAGAGGGAGAGGGAGAAATATCAATGATGAGAGAGAATCATCGATTGGCTGCCTCCTGCACGCCTCCTACTGGGGATGGAGCCCGCAACCCAGGCATGTGCCCTTGGCTGGAATCGAACCTGGGACCCTTCAGTCCGCAGACCGACACTCTATCCATTGAGCCAAACCAGCTAGGGCTTGTTTTTGTTTTAGTTTTCAGTTTTAAAAATATATACTTACATAGTTAATGCATATATATATATGTGTATATATAATTTCCTTTCTTAATTCTTCCCCATTTTGCAAATATTTTTTATATTTTTGAATACTCTTCACAAACATAGTTTTTATTTAATTAATTATTTTTTAAAAAATATATATTTATTGATTTCAGAGAGGAAGGGAGAGGGAGAGAGAGATAGAAACATCAATGATGAGAGAGAATCATTGATTGGCTGCCTCCTGCACGCTCCCTACTGGGGATCAAGCCCACATCCCACATCCGGTCCTTGACCGGAATTGAACTTGGGACCCTTGAGTCCATAGGCCGATGCTCTGTCCACTGAGCCAGACCAGCTAGGGCAAACATAGTTTTTATTAATTGTGTCATATTTCACTAAATATGATTCCACATAATTTAAGTAGTTCTAATTTTTTTTCTTATGTTTATTTTGCTGGGAACTTTCTTGTTGTGAGTTTTTTCTGTATTTAGATTAAGTTCTTAGAATAGATTTCCCAAATATAAAAGTGTAGGAATACTCCAAAATTATATATCATCATTTCAAAATACTATAAGATCATAAGAATTTTGTATAAAGAATAAATGTATATATTGAGGTATTATCCTGGACAGAATTTTTGTAAATGCTTATTCTTAAGCATCAAGTATCTTTTTAAATATGTTTTTAAAATTTAATGCCGAAACCGGTTTGGCTCAGTGGATAGAGCATCGGCCTGCGGACTGAAAGGTCCCAAGTTCAATTCCAGTCAAGGGCATGTACCTGGGTTGCGGGCACCTCCCCAGTAGGAGATGTGCAGGAGGCGACTGATCGATGTTTCTCTCTCATCGATGTTTCTAACTCTCTATCTCTCTCCCTTCCTCTCTATAAAAAATCAATAAAATATATTTTAAAAAAAAAATTAGGAGATATCAGGATGTCTTGATTAATACTTAGGTGATAGGAATGCTTGAATTCTATTCTTGATTTTATTAATGTATAACTTTAATAGGTCTATTATAAAAATCATGTAAATTTTCAGCAATACCAACTTCATATTACCAGTAACTTAATTCAACATTTGTCAGATTTCACATGCCTTGGGAGGCAATATGAACATTTGTCTCATGGTCACAACTCTTCCTTGAAGACAAAATTAGATACCAAGTTAAAATAAAAATGCTTTGTTACTTCTGAATTTTTTGCCTCTATTTTATGTTATCATCATTGTTATTATAAATAGAAGTTGTCATATTTACTTGTAATTATTAATCATGAATTTAATATTTATTCATGTGAAACCTTGGAAAATAGTTTAATTCTATTCCTATATAAGGTGGCAGTATACTCACCTTTGCCCTTATTCAATGAACTGAAGTATATATTAGTGTGTGAAAATCAATGCTATAATTTTTTATAGGTGGTAATTTTGTTGTCTTTAGATTACTTTTATAGACTTTTTTTTTTATCTTAGATTAAGCCAAATATCAGGAAACAGGAAATGCATAGTTAGTTTCTTGAGTTAATTGGTTATTTTGTAAGAATGGTGTCTTTTCACAGCTCATGTTCTGTTAAGCATCGTGGTGAATTTATATTTTGTTTTTCAGGTGTTTCATTTTTTACTTTTGGTACCTTAAAGAGTGTTGGGCTTTCCCATGCTCCTACCCTTCTTGGCAGACCTTCATCAGACAATCCTAATGTCTTAGTTTTGAAAACTCACATAAACTTACTTTGTGGTGGTGTTGCTGGAGCAATAGCACAGACAATATCGTAAGTTTCTTCATCAACTTAATTCAGTCAAATTGCAGTTACCCAATCCTGATTTTCAGCATTGGTTAATCATTTTTTTCTAATAGATTATTAAAACACAGGATTCCTTGCAAAATATGTCTTAATTTAATACGTTTCTTTTCAGACGTGCCTGCACTTTTAGCATATTATAAATAATTTAGTGCCAAATTGACCGAATTAGTTTTAACCCACCCAATTTCTTGTCGTTCATTTATAAGAAAGAAAGGTAGAAAAAAACACTGAGTATAGTCTTCATCCATATTTTCTCATGATTTCACCTAAACGAAGTTTCTGAAATTTGAGCCATTGTGTTTGTGTTTGTGTGTGTAAGGCACAACTTCTCTTGCACTAAAATCTCCAAGGCCTGCTTTGTCAGACAGTGTATGAGGCATTGGGAGGTTCACTGAAGGGAAAACACAGTTATTGCCTCAGGAAGCCTATACTGTTACTGAGACAGTAGCAATACAGTGGAGTTCTTTGTTAATTTAAGTGCTAGTGGAAACATAAAGATATACTATAAAGTACTTGGAATGGTGGCTTCAACGAATTTCTCTAGACCAAGAGAGATTGTGTAGATGAGATAAAAGAGGCTGGAATATTTAGAATTAGGAACTTTTCAGGAATAGGAGGAAGAAAAGCTGTCTGTGACTGAGGAGTATCCTGTAAAACAGGAAGTAGTAGTGTCACAGACTCAAAACAGAGGATCCAATGGAAAAAGAAAAGTCAGAGTAAGACAAGTACTGAAAAGGAAAGTGTTTCTTGGATTTTGCAATTGTTACTTTTGTGAAAGCAAATTTGGTGTCCTTGTGTGTGAGAACAGATCACACTAGATTGCAGGTAAAGAAGATAGGTGTGTGTGGTTTGCTTTGGAAACCTTGCTGTGGGATCTCGTTCATTTGCAGAGAGATGATCACCTCTGGCTATTTTGATTCTCTTCTTGGTTTTACTGCCTTTTTTCTTTATTACTCACTTCCAACTTAGATCCTTAAAATCTGTCTTCTCTTTCCCACTTCTCTTCTTAAACTATATTCTATACCATTAATTCTTCACAGATTCAGAGGCTTCTTCTCAGGTTTTTTACTCTCCTTTCAATTGTTCTAGTTCCTTGGTTTTTTTAACAGTGCCCTCTCTTGTCAATCATGCTCCTTAACCTTCCCTTTTTCGGTTCTTTGCTGATCATGTCCTCCTCTTCCTACCTATTGGTGTAGACCTTTGCTCTCCCCTTAAATATATAGAATTAGCTTATCTGTCTTTATGGCTTCAAGGTCACTTCTCTACAGATAACCAGTTCTGTTTAAGTCTCCATTATTGACACACTATTACTTCTCTGACGAGCTCTTGGATATTTCTACTTGGACTTCTGCAGTCAGTGCCAACTCTGTCATTCAGGTATTCCTTTCTTTCCTCTTTGTATTGATAAACATTGATCTTCTAGTCCTAGTAATACCTTGAAATCATTTTTCACATTTTACATATCTGTGTACTCATTATGTCTTATCATTTTTTACTTCAGAACATTGCCTACAGTGCTCTTTTCTTTCTTCCTCAATGTGATTTCCCTAGTTCTGATCCTTGTACTTAGTCCTCTTACATTCTCTCCGTTATACTAATCCATTTCTTCTACCCACATCTGTTCCTGCTTGGAAACTGAATCATTCAGGTTGAGGCTTTGGTCCCTTTATCCTCATGAAGTTTTTCCTCTCTCCAAACCCCATTAAAAAATAATTCCTGGAGATGCTGTTGAAATACATAGGGAGTTCACCTGTTGGTACTGTTATTTCTTGAGCTGCTTGGTTGGTGCATGTTTTGTTTTGTTTTTTTAAATAACTCATAATAAACTTAAATGTATATAAAAGTATATGATTATTTTTTGTCATATATCACTTATGTATATATTAGGTACCATGGAGAAGTTTGAGTAGGAAAGTAGAAAGCAGCTTTGTAACACTAGAAAGACTCAGTTTGTTAAAATTTTCTTACCTTAATGCTTCGATAACAGTACGTATTTCATGCAGGTGTTGTAAAGATGGAATGAGATAAAGTACATAAATTGTTTAGCACAGAACCTAATATAAGTAGTCAATATTAGCAAAATAAAAGTAATTTAAAAAATCTCCTGGAATCCTACTTTGAAAAGAGCTTACTTTTGTATATTTCGTTTCAAGCAATTTTTACATAGAATTTTCTCTGTCCTCTAAATGTAATTAACTATATTGTTAATTTTAGTCCTTAAAGAAATTTTTTTGGTTCGTCTATTTTATACAGGGGATGTGGTGACTATTCTTAGAGTAAGGTTCTCAACTGGGGTGATTCTGACTCCAGTGAACATTTATTAATGTCTGGAGACATTTTTGGTCGTCACAGCTGGGGGAGTGCTACTGGCATCTAGTGTGTAGAAGCCAGGGATGCACCTGAACATCCTACAATGCACAGGCAGCCCTCCTCTGCGAGGTATCCAGCCCAAAGTGTCAGTAGTGCCGCAGATGAGAAACCCGTCTCAGCTTACAGCCGTGACAAGCACCCTGTTGGCTTCTTCAGGAAGTGGCATTTAGTTTGGCCTTGAGGAATGAATGAAGCTTGATATTGTGATGGGAGAGAAGAACCATCTAACCTAGGAGACCTCAGTATTGTTAACTTATTTATTTATGTGCCTGTATCCAGGCTCCCATATTAGACAAAACAATAAGAGAATAGGAGCACATTATTTCTTAGCATATATAGGGCTTTGTACTCAATAATTGTTGAGCAGAAAACTAAAAATCATTTTTAACTTTTGCTTTATTCTTCTTTCAGCTACCCATTTGATGTAACTCGTAGGCGAATGCAATTAGGAACTGTTCTTCCAGAATTTGAAAAGTGCCTGTAAGTTCTCGATTTGTCATTGTTTCTTTTCTTTAGGAAATGTAATGTTTAAAGTAAGTAGTGAGGTAGGATTGTGTCTCACCAGTAGTCTAGAACTCCCATTTAATCTCCCATAGTTTAACCTGATTACCTTGTAAGATTTAAAAATATATATATTTTTTATTGATTTCAGAGAGGAAGGGAGAGGGAGAGACAAATATTAATCACCAGAGAGAATCATTGGTGTATAATTTAAATTTTTCTGGTAGCCACATTAAAACGTGTATAAAAATAAACATGAAATTAAAAAATATTTCACCAAAACTGGTTTGGCTCGGTGGATAGAGCGTCGGCCTGTGGACTGAAGGGTCCCAGGTTCGATTCTGGTCAAGGGCATGTACCTTGGTTGCAGGCACATCCCCAGTAGGAGGTGTGCAGGAGGCAGCTGGTCGATGTTTCTCTCTCATCGATGTTTCTAACTCTCTATCCCTCTCCCTTCCTCTCTGTAAAAAATCAATAAAAATATTTTAAAAAATATTTCTATTTAATCTAAAATATAACTTCAATATTGCAGTATTTTATATCCCTTTTAAAAATATGTTTTTATTGATTTTAGAGAGAGAGAAAGGGGGCTGGAGAGAGAAAAACATCTATATAGGAGCAAGATATAGATCAGCTGCTTCTAGTGGGGATTGAGCCCACAACCCAGGCATTCGCCCTGACTGGGAATCGGACCAGTAACCTCATGGCGCATGGGTCGACACTCAACCACTGAGCCACACCGGCTGGGCAATATATCCCTTTCTTATTCTAAGCATTTTATTTTTTAAAAATATATTTCTTTATTGATTTCAGAGAGGAAGGGAGAGAAAGGGAGAGATGGAAACATCAATGATGAGAGAGAATCATTGATTGGCTGCCTCCTGCACGCCCCCTACTGGGGATCGAGCCCGCAGCCCAGGCATGTGCCCTTGGCCGGAATCGAACCTGGGACCCCTCAGTCTGCAGGCCAACGCTCTATCCACTGAGCCAAGTTGGCTAGGGCTATTCTAAGCGTTTTAAAGCCAGAGTGTATTTAATATTCATAGTACATCTCAATTTGGATTTGCCACATTTAAAGTCAGGTGGCTACCATTGTTGCACAGCTCAGCTCTAGAATTTTCTATAAATATTTAGAATCGTTCTATTTGATTGGTGATGTGTTATCCCTCAGGAAGAGCAGAATGTTTGTTCAATGGCCTTTGTTGATCCAAAAGATTTTTTGAAGATTTGAAAAGTAAAGGCAGCCCAGCCGGCTTGGCTGGGTGGTTGAACATTGACCTATGAACTAGGAGGTCACGGTTCGATTCCTGGTCAGGGCATATGCCCGAGTTTCGGGTTTGATCCCTAGTGTGGGGCATGCAGGAGGCAGCCGATCAATGATTATCTCTCATCATTGATGTTTCTAACTCTCTCCCTCTCCCTTCCTTTCTGAAAGCAATAGAGAAAATTATGAAAAAAGAAAAAAGATTTTCCTTTAAAAAAAGAAAAAAAAGAAAAGGCAAAGAGCCCCAAACGTTTGTTTGAAAGGAAAAAAACACCATTTGAACAAGAGAGTCTTCATTGTCCTAGCCAGTTTGGCTCAGTGGATAGAGCATCAGCCTGCAGACTGAAGGGATCCGGGTTGATTTCAGTCAAGGGTGCATGCCCAGGTTGTGGGCTGGATCCCCAGTAGGGGCTGTGCAGGAGGCAGCCAATCAGTGATTCTCTCTCATCATTGATGTTTCTATCTCTTTCTCTCCCTCTCCCTTCCTCTCTGACATCAATAAAAATATATTTAAAAACATAAACATATTTAAGAAATTAAAAAGACTACATCAGTATTTCAAATATTATTATGGAATAGTGTTGCCAGTAAATGTCATAGACACAGACAAACAAAATATATGTTATTAATGAGCCTGGCAGTTCTGTGCATAGTGCTTGTAAGAGTTTGGAATTAATTGCAGTTTTATTGTGAATTTTTAGCTTGTTTTAGCACTTGTGTTCCAAAACCTATTAAAGATGTCATTTTGGCTTCTTTTTAAAATGCTATTATGGATCTTAAAATTGTCCCTTCATGAGTGGGCCTACAGATGTCATCTTTTAACTGTTGTCTTTCAGTACCATGCGGGAGACTATGAAATATGTCTACGGACACCATGGAATTCGGAGAGGATTATATCGTGGCTTATCTCTGAACTACATTCGCTGCATTCCCTCTCAAGCAGTGGCTTTTACAACATATGAACTCATGAAGCAGTTTTTTCACCTCAACTGAAGAAAAATCGTGATTTCCTCTCCTTAGTAAATTCTCAGAGGGAGAAATAAAATGTTAGTTTAATTTGGGGGAGAACATTACTTGAAGAGGGACTTTACCCTCTCACAGGAACCACTGGTATTTTAGTACTTGATTTTTTTACTCATTACAAATCAAAAGTGCTTACTATACCTTTTGATGCCAAAAGTTACAGCACAGAACATTGAAAAAATTTCCTAAACTGATGCTGGCTAATCAGTTAGGTTATTTGAAAGTGTTATTTGTAAGTAGAACTAACTTAAAATGGGACTCAAGAGGTTGTCATTAGCTGTATCATGCTGTTCCAAGCTTTTCATTGTAATCATGATTTTCAAAGACTCTAACATTGTTTATTATTATTACAACAAACAGGCTTTGCAGTAGAATAATGAAAACTGAACTTTTAAGTTTTATAATAAGCTGTAGCTTAGAAGCCGGCATGGAAATATTATTCTTATTATTTCTCTTCTTATAATTCTGCTCCACTGGATAAAAGGACAAATTTTTTCTCTTCACTTTTTCAAAAAGCAAACATTGTATTTAAAAAGTAGCCATGTAGAGACTCAACAAGTGAAGAATTTTTCAGGTATTGCTGAAATGTTATTACCAGATACTATGACTGATTTAAATATTTTTAAAAGTCAGTGTATTTCCCAAAGGTAGTAATAGTAAATACTGATTATCTGCTCTCAAAACCGATTAGCATTATACTAGTAGATTTGTTTGTTAGATGATTTAGTGTATACTAGAAAATTTATTTCAGTGCACTATGAAATATCCATTAATATAGATGTGAATGTTGAAGACTGTTTCTAAAATATTGTCATGATACATCAACTAGTTCTTCCATGTAAAATAGTTTTAGTGTAATATAAACTTAAGTAGAAATGTAAAAATCATTTGAATTGCTATTCTCTATGTTAAAATGGTTTAAAATGTAAGAATTCCATTTATTGTGTTTAGAGCACTTTTTATGTTTTATTATAAGCATGATAGAAATGGGAGGGGAACAGTTACAGTGTTGTCCTCAGAAATAGTGATTTGTAGAATTGATGTGATTTTTAAGACATTAGAAAACTAAGTTGAAAGTGTTATTTCTGCTTCAATTTTTACTTTTGCATAAAAGATTTCTTGTCACACCTTGGTAAACTTTAGATGAACTGGTTTCATTTTCAAAGTGTTTATTTTAAAATAAATATGTATCTTTATATGATTTATAAGTATACCTGCAGGTATAAATACATGTGTTCCTAAAAACATTTTGTATATTTTCATTTTTGAATTACACTGTAGCTAAATATTGTTATTAAATCTCAAGATAATTTAAATATATAAAATAAGTATCTCAGCTATGTTATCAATAAAAAGGATTGCAGGTATTTTTTAAATAAAAATTTGCATTCTGTGTCTTTTTTTTTTTTTTTTCATTGATCTTAGAGAGGGAGGAAGGGAGACAGAGAAAAACATTGATGTGAGAGAGACATTGATTGGCTGTCTCCCCACTCACCCCGCCGGGGATGAACCCTGAACCTGGGCATGTGCCCTAACTGGGAATTGAACCCACGACCTTCCAGTGCACTGGGGGTAGGGTGGCCTGTCTAGACAGAAGCGGGCGCATATAGTTTGGGCCAGATTTATGAAGCCGCAGTTTTCCAAAGCAGAAGCGAGAGAGCAAAGCCGCCTTCCCCCAGGGCTCTGCGGTCCAGGTGCGCCTCGTGGAACCGCCGGCGCAGGAGGCGCCCGAGGCGCAGGGCGCTGGGGCCGCGGCGAGTCGGCGCATGCGCGGCGCCTCTGCTTTCTCTTTTCAGTGGCTGCGGGTTCCCCCGATTTTTCCAGGCGACCGTTTGCGATCTCCGTGCCCGGGATGGAGCAGCTGGGTGACCTGGAGCTGCTGATGGAGGAGACTTTCGGGGAGGAGGCTGGGCCGCCGGCAGAGCTGTGAGCGGAGGGTCCGGGAGCCAAGCGGGAGATTTGAACGAAAGGAGCGGGAGAGGCGGTTCCGCGCCGCACGCGTTTCCAGGGCGGGCGTGGGGGTGGGGGGTCTGCTTCCCGGGGTCCTCTTTGGGCCACACGGACCAGAGCCTGGAGACTTATCTTGTCCAGCGGCTCATTATTTCCCCCGACTTCACGTCTGTTCCGAAGTTGGAGAGTCCCAGCCGCTTAAATGTCTTCATGAAAGGAAATTGCGAGATACTTTTCTCCATGTTTAGTTGGAGAACTCTGCACCCCCATCTCGGTTTATATGGTCGGGGGTCGGGGGGGGGCGGGAGGGAGACCCACAGTCATGGGGTGGTTATTTTCAACAGCAGCAACACCGATGCTGATTATTGGTAACAGATCTTTGCGTTTGGGGTTGGGGAGATCCTTAAGGCGTCCCAGCTGCCTTGGGAAATTGTGGGTGAGGTGAATGGGGAGGTTCCAAAACAACAGAACCTAGGGTGGTGACAAAGATAATTTTAGGGAAATGTGAAAGCATTTGGTGTTATAATTGGAGAGATGATGACTTTGGACTCTGTTGAAGTCTTACTGCCATCAAACAGGAAAGACTTAAGAGGAATTTAACATTTTCTAGAGGAGATTATTTGGCGTAGTTTTCAGGCGGCTGGGATCAGTGGGTAAAAGTATTGTGATATTGACTTGCCCGTTATAGAAGAAATGTCCGAGTTACTCTATGAAGGAACGAGCTACTGTATTAAGTTTGCTTTCTGTACAATGCAGGGGCTGGTTGATTCCCAAAGAGATTTCATAGAAGGATTTCCTGCATTAAATAGTAGATTGGACTAGATGGTTTATATGTTTGTCCTAATTTAAAGATTAATATAATTATGTGGCTCACAGTTCTATAACAAACAAAGTTTTTATTGCCCTAGCCGGTTTGGCTCCGTGCATAGAGCTTCCGCCTGTGGACTGAAGGGTCCCAGGTTTGATTCCGGCCAAGGGCACATGCCCAGGTTGCAGGCTCGATCCCCAGTAGGTGGCGTGCAGGAGGCAGCTGATCAATGATTCTCATCATTGATGTTTCTCTCCCTTCCTCTCTCTCTCTGAAATCAATAAAAAAAATATATATTTAAAAAATGTTTTTATTGATTTTTAGAGCGAGAAAGGGAGAGAGAGAAACATTGATGTGAGAGAGAAACATCAGTTGCCTTCCATACACACCTTCACAGGGTTTTGGACCCGAAACCTGGTATGTGCCCTGACCAGGAATGGAACTGGCAACCTTTTGATGAGTCTGAACCAGCTGAGCCACAGTTGGGCCAAGCATCTCTTTGATTTACAGAAAGGATAGTGTCCAAATGGTCCCTTTTATTTGTACTTTGAGACTGTTTGCACAAGTGGTGGGATGTGTTGTTTAATTTTTTCTCAGTTTCTCTCTTTTCTTTTTACATTTTATTTTATTGTTTAAAGTATTACAAATACATAGTAGTACATATGTCTTTCCCCCCCCCCCCATTGACCTTTCCCCGTCAATTTTTCTTTCATCCTTATAATCATGGATCTTATATTTGGAAATATCCATGTCATAAGTATGTTTTAAATGACACTGCTTCTGGGAAGTTCTTATAATAGGAATTCTGCTATGTCTTTGCTCTCTTAATTTTTAACCATTTTAGCTAATGGTCATTGTGCTAAGCTTTCCAGAGGAGACAAACCTAAAAACTAGAAGATTGGACTGTAGATAAAGGAGATTGCTGGCTTCTTATTTCATGCTTGTGCCACACTGTGTGTATTCTTTAGATTTCAGAAGGCGGAAGCTTCCTCTTCTAAAACAGTCCTGATCCGAGGAGCGGATAACCGGTACCTGGTACTAGCAGTCAATGTTGTGCAGAAGGAAGAAGGAAACCACGAAAAGCATCTAATCATCACTGCTTCCCAGTCGCTAGACTGTAAAGAATTGTGCATACTTAGGAATGACTGGTAATTTCTGTGTGACTTTGAGCTCTGATCTGGCGGATTCTTAAGGTTCCATCTTAAAACCCATCACATGGGCCTGTGTGGATGTCACTCTAATTTAATTATTAATAGAGGGGGTAGTTTTCAACCGGAACTAATTCCACATAAAACTTGTGCCTGTTACCCCAGCAGCATGTCAAGTCCCTTATTCCAAAAGTTGATTTTTATTGTCATTTGAAATGACAAAGGGGCTTATTAAATGATTACATCCTTTTCCCCAGTACTTTCTGTTTTAAGATCACAGCTTAAAACTCATATTCTCACAAAGAGCAAGATGAATTACAGCAGAAGAACATTCTTTGACCTTATATTTCTCTACCCAAGTAAAGTGTGGTATGCGAGGGGTGACGGGGAGATGCAGAGAAGTCAGGTCTAATTTTGCCTAGATTTTCTGTTGAGGCTGCAAGTTGGATGGTATGAACTAGATAAATATGATTTTATTCTTGCTACATTGGATTTGGCTCCATGCCTCAAGACTTATAGAAGATGTAGATACAATGTAAATCTTAAGAATGAGATAATAATAATAAAAAAGAAGGAGATAATTAATTATTAAAGCAACATCACCCATAATTGGAGCTCTATGTTACACCATTAAAGATTTGATAGCTTTGGCTGATGCTAACGCAGCTTTCCCTTCTGGGATTAAAGGAAAACCCATGAGTATTCTCAGATGTATTTCAAAGGTGGAAAAGGTGTGTTTCAAAGGTGTGTCTAAGAGTTGATTCAGAAGACTGCATCCTGGTATTGAATTTTTTAAATAGATCCATACATTTAGAAATACTTATTTCTTTAGACAACATATTTGTTTATTTTGAAGCGTCCTTAATAAGCTTAAATGTCGGAACCTAAACGGTGTTGATACTTTGCTTTATTTGTAGGTGCTCTGTACCAGTGGAGCCAGGGGACATCATTCACCTGGAGGGAGAATGCACGTCTGACACTTGGATAATAGATGAAGATTCTGGATATTTGATCCTGTACCCAGACATGCTGATTTCTGGCACAAGCGTAGCCAGTAGTATTCGATGTCTGAGAAGAGCTGTCCTGAGTGAAACTTTCAGGGTGAGTAATAAAAGAGCCGAAGTTTCTGCAGGATTTTAGAGTTTGCAGAGCACTTTTACACTTTTATTTTACTTAATCCTTCCAATAATCCTGTGAAGAGATGGTATTAATCAGCTGCGTTTTACAGATGAGAAAATCAGGCTTAGAGGCTTTAAGTGACTTGCTCAAGTCATGTAGCTAGTAAGTGGCAGTGCTGGGACTCAAGGCCATGTGCCTGAATCCTGTGAATCTTGTTCAACACTAATAAAATAATTCTAATGGTAAGAAAAGTAATTCAGTGACAAAAATTTAAAATTAATACATCTAGACATTTCCAATAAACTAAAAATAAATGTGATAGTCTCCTTTAAAAAAGTTATTATGGAAAATTTCAAATATACATGGAGATGATTATAATAAACCTCCATGTATCCATTCTGCTTTCCCAAACATTATCTTATTTTGCAAGTAAATTAAAGCTGACTTTTTTTCCCCTTTTTTTTAATCCTCACCTGAGGATATGTTTTTATTGATTTTAGAGAGGGAGAGGGAGAGAGAGAGAGAGAGAGAGAGAGAGAGAGAGAAAGAAACATCGATCAGCTGTTACCTGTAACCTGGATATGTGCCCTAATTGGGAATTGAATCTGCAACGTTTTGGTGTACAGGATGATGCTCCAACCAGCTGAGCCACCTGGTCAGGGCTAAAAGCTGACATTTAAAAAATATACATAAATGCAATATTTATTTTATTGAGAGGAAGGAAGAGAGAAAGAAACATTAATGTGAGAGAGAAATATCTGTCAGTTGCTTCCTTCCTGCACATGCCTTGACTGGGATGGGATCAAACCTGCAGCCCGGGCATGTGCCCTGACCCGGAATCGAACTTGCCACCTTCTGGTGTATGGGATGACGCTTCAACCAATTGAGCCACAGAAATTTCTCACATTAAGCTAATGCTCAATTTATCTCTAATGTCTTTCATCAAAAATATATTTTTATTCAGTTGGTTTGTTAGAATCAGTATCCAAACAAATTGTTTGTATTATGTTGATATGTCTGTTAAGTTTCTTTTTATCTGTATTATTTCTGCCTTCTACATGCCCCCTTTGTTTCCATGCCGTTTATTTGTTGAAGAACCTTAGTTGTTTTTTGTTTTTGTTAATTCTCACCTGAGGATATTTTTTCTATTGCTTTTCAGAGAGTGGAAGGGAGGTTGAAGGGGTGAGAGAGAGAGAGAGAGAGAGAGAGAGAGAGAGAAATATCCATGTGAGAGATACACATCGACCAGTTGCCTCCCACATGTTCCCCAACTGGGGCGGGGCGTGAACTTGCAATCCAGGTATGTGCCCTTGACCAGGAATCGAACCCTCGACCCTTTGGTTCTTCGGTCGACACTATAACCACTGAGCAACACCAGCCAGGGCAGAACCTGAGTTTTTACTTGTTAAACGTTTATTCCTTGCTCTGGCTGGATGGTTCAGTTGATTGGAGCGTTGTCCCGTACACAGAAAGGTTACGGGTTCAATACCATGTCAGGGCACATACCTAGGTTGTGGGTTCAGTCCCTGGTTGGGCTTGTACAGGAGGCAACTGATTAATTCCATTGATGTTTCTCTCTCTCTCTCTCTAAAAAAAATAGTATATTCAGGTGAGGATGAAAAAAAGAAGTTTCTTCCTCCCAGCGTATTGTTTTAATTATACAATTAATCTACATGTGTGTAGAAAACCAAAATGACAGCTGAGCAACAAGAGCTAAAGAAGGAAAAATACCTCTAGGTTTTTTTCTAATAGTGTTAATTGCTACTTATTTGTAGTTTAGTTTATCCACTTTTTTTCTTCAGTTGTGGGAGAATATCAACTTCTCTCTTAATCATGTATTATAAGGTGGACCTAATATTACTCTGTTAAAAACTTTTATTTTGAAATAATTTAGACTCAACATAGAATTTACCAAAAGTAGTACAAAGAGTTCCTCTGTAAGTTTTTAAAGTTCCTGATGGATGGTTTGGTGGACTTTATCTAGTTTTGGTTAATAAAAGGGTTACTGGAAAAACACTTTCTTTTTAAATAGAGAGAACGTTCTTGCCAAAAATCTCTACTGTAAGTTAAATTTTTATGTTTCAATAATATCTTTTGCTTTCAAGAATTTGTGAGCTATGCCTTTATTGACTTTTTCTATTTGGATAAATTGTAAAATGGAATATATTAAATATTTGAGAATATGTTGAACTTTTTCATTTTGGTTAATTTTTTAAATAAGAAATATAGTGATTTAAAAAAAAAACCCCTCTCATACTTGTAAAATAATTCAGGTCATTCTGAATAGAAGAAAGGGAAAGTCGCACTGGCCGGTTTGGCTCAGTATATAGAGTGTGGGCCCGAGGACTGAAGGGTCCTGGGTTCAGTTCCTGTTAAGGGCACGTAGCTTGGTTCCAGGCTGGATCCCTGACCCCAGTCTGGGTCTGACGTGCGGGAGGCAACCAATCAATGTGACCTCTCAAATCAATGTTTCTCTTTGTCTCTCCCGGTCCCTTCCACTCTTTCTAAAAATCTCTGGTGAGAATTAACAAAAAAAGAAAGAAAGGGAAAGTCACTTATAATTCCTCCCACCAGAAAAATACATTGGTTGATGTTTTGGTATTTGTCTTAGTAGTACACTTTGGCTATGGTGGTTTAATAGGTTAGGTCAGTGGTCGGCAAACTCATTAGTCAACAGAGCCAAATATCAACAGTACAACGACTGAAATTTCTTTTGAAAGCCAAATTTTTTAAACTTAAACTATATAGGTAGGTACATTGTTATTAACTTAACTAGGGTACTCCTAAGGCTTAGGAAGAGCCACACTCAAGGGGCCAAAGAGCCACATGTGGCTCGAGAGCCGCAGTTTGCCGACCACGGGGTTAGGTAATAAGTATACATTCACGTCTGTTAATATGTTGTAAAATAAAAAAATTTTGTGTGTTTTTTCTTACTAGGGCTCTGATCCAGCCACACGCCAAATGCTGATTGGTACGGTTCTCCATGAAGTATTTCAGAAAGCAATAAGTGATAGCTTTGCCCCAGAAAAGCTACAAGAACTTGCTTTTCAAACTGTTCAAGAGATGAGGCATCTGAAAGAAATGTAAGTAGTTACAAGAGAACTGCAGGTACAGTTTTATTATATAACTTCTCCTAGAATCTTGGCCATTTTACTGTTCATTGTAAATTCGTGTAATACTAAAATGCAGATTCCGAAGGTACAGTCTCCCCTTCCAGTTCTGTGAAGAGCTTCTAAAATTGCACAACAGGAGCTCTTTGGCTAAAAATAACTGAATTTTCTGTACAGGAGTACAGCGGACTCTGAGAGCGTGTAAAGCGTTTTGCCTTTAGAAACAGGGTGACATGCTGAAAATCGTATGGGTTTGGAAGTCAGATCTCATTTGAAATTCTAGCTTTGCCAGTTTGATGACTGCAGAAGTCACTTAAACATTCTGAAACGGCGATAATGCCTATTTTGCATCTTGTGACAATGGAAATGATGTATATGAACCCACAGGTGGTTAATCATTGGCGTTTTATGAGTGACTGACGACCCTCAGAGGGTTTGGCATGTTCTGCCGTCTGTTTCTCCCTTGACTCCCACTGCAGCCCATCTTTTCTCACAGACAAGTTTTTATTAGTGATGATTTTGATTCTGACATCAATCTATTTTCCCAGATAGTAATTCTGTGCTTCACTGTTTATGTGGGAAAAAATGTGTTCCAAAATTTCACACAAATGATTTAGCGATGACATGTAATCTAGTGTCGTAAAACATTTCAGGCCGCTGCCGTATGTCCGGCACTGTGTTGTGCTTTTATGCATATCTTGAATAGTCTGATTGCAGCTTCTTATAAATGAAGAAACTGAAGCACAGAGAAGTTGTTACTTGTTCATGACCACAAAGCACAGCATTCAGAATATAAATAGATTTAATAAAGCTTTTGCTTTGAGTTCTATTTATTGCCTATTTGCCACTTGGTGTTTCAAATTTTGAATTTTTGTATCACACCCTAATCAGCAAATGATTATCTTATCTGTTGTATACTGGATTGATTATGGCCCTGAAACCAGTCACATCAAAACTTAGTGGCTTAGCCCTAACTGCTTTGGCTCAGTGGATAGAGCGTCAGCCTGCGGACTCAAGGGTCCCAGGTTCGATTCCGGTCAAGGGCATGTACCTTGGTTGCGGGCACATCCCCAGTGGGAGGTGTGCAGGAGGCAGCTGATCGATGTTTCTCTCTCATCGATGTTTCTAACTCTCTATCTCTCTCCCTTCCTCTCTGTAAAAAATTAATAAAATATATTTAAAAAACAAAAACAACAACAAAAAAACCTTAGTGGCTTAAATGGCAAGCTTCTAGCCTGTTCCCTCATAGTTGCTGTAGGTCAGAAATTCGGAGGTGGCTTAGCGGGCTGGTTCTGCTCCGGGTCTCCCATGTGGGGCTGCAGTCATCTAGGCTTGCCCAGTGCAGGAGGATGACTCACATGGCCCTTGTGTTGAGGCCTCAGTGCCTGGCTGACTGTTGGCAGGAGGTCTCGTTCTTCGCCACGTGGGTCTTTCATAAGGCTGCGTGTCCTCATGCCATGCCGCTGCTGCTTGGAGGGAAGGGTCCAAGAAAGAGAGCAAGCAGGAAGCACAGTGCCTTCTCTCACCTAGTGTTTGAATTCCTACATTGTCACGGCTGCTTTTTTTATTCCTTAGATGCAAGTCACTACATGCAGCTCTCCCTTAAACGTAGGGGAATTGGGTGCCATCTTTTGAAAGGTGTCAAAGAATTTGCGGACATCTTTTAAACCACCTCGGGTGTTTAGGTATCGGGCAATCTGATTCATCCAGAACCCAACTTGTATACAGGGATGAAAGAAAACAAGGTTTCTGAGCAGCCTTGCTTAGAATTCATATTGTCCATGTATTAAAAAAAACCCTTGTTCACTTCATGTCATGGAATATCTCTCTGATTCCCTTAGCATCTATTTTTCACTGATAGCTAACATTCTTACTTATCTGGTTTCTGAGATGCGGGAGAGGCACCTTCATAGTCATATAACATGTGAGCTGATAGCTTCGTTGCAGTATAAGAAAGAGGAAACTTTAAAATATATAAGAACTGCCCTAACTGGTTTGGCTCAGTGGATAGAGTGCCAGCCTGTGGACTGAAAGGTCCCAGGTTCAATTCTGGTCAAGGGCATGTACCTTGATTGTGGGCACATCCCCAGTGGGAGGTGTGCAGGAGGCAGCTGATCGATGTTTTTCTCTCATCCATGTTTCTA